ACCCCCGGGGCTCGGCAGACCCTCTGCCCGGGGGCAGTCACGGTGTCGCCTGGAGCGGGGGACACCTTCCGGGCGGCCGGACGGGGGCAGCCGGCCTTAGTTTGTCACCTTAAGCGTGTTTGACATCAGAGATCGATGGCTGGAGCGTGGCGTAAGGGATGTGATAAATTACTGAAGAGACGGCAGGTGGAGAGCAATGAAGGTTTATTGAGCGTAGTCATCAGCAACAGCTTCCCGATGCACGGCCTGCTGACTGGTCCTCTGTCACGCCGTGAGACAACACTGGACACTGGTGTACGTGTGTGTGCGTACATAGGTTTCTCTTGCGGTATTTGCATGTACCTGTGGGACCTTCCACCCATTTCGCTGGCTCAGAGAGTTTCTTGCCATGAACAGCACCGGCGCATCTTGTCCCTTGTTTGTTCTAGCTCTTGCACGGACGTACACCACAAGTTACATCAGTCACGTGGTGGTTTCCTTTTGTAGGAAAGAGAGGCACACAGGTGATGTGAAATAATTTCTTTCGTTTATTTTTCATATTGGAATTTCATACCTCATTATTGTTTTCTGAGATTAACTGATTGTGCTGTCTATCCAGTTCAGCTAAAACAAAGCTGTAAATTCACAGAGAACGAAGATTTTCTGTATTTTATTCTGAAACTGGAGCTCCTCAAAGCATGCAGCCTCTGAATAGCATTGCGCTGGTTGCACCTTGATGCTTTGAATGTAAGAAAGTGCAATATATTTATTTGTTCTTAATGTCATGCTTTTATGTGAGGGGAAAGTTGTAAACACAGGTTGCATGAGACCATTTAGTTGTGTTTCTGTGGTCCATAGCCATTTGTTTTGCAGATGGTAGGGGGGGGTGAGCACGTGTCCATAGGTTCTGGGAACTCTCTCATATGAAAAATCCTTTTTAGTGACCAGGACATACTAGGTATTTTCTCTGTATATGTGCGTGTATGTAAATATATGCATATATACACACATACTATGTATTTGAGATGGCTAGAGTTAGAGCAGCAGTGCATTTCCAGTGCCTGCTGCATGTAGCGTGGTCAGGGTGGATGCAGTGGAGCAGAGCAAGCTTGCAATTACGTTACTACCAGCTGCCAGCCTGATCCAACAAGATTATTTTGCCTTTTCTGCAATGACCTTAGGGGTAAGGGCCTCAGACAAGCTATTGTTCTGCAAACATAGTCTCCCTTTCCCTCAGAGATCATGTTTGCATCATAAATACAAATCTTTTTTTTTTTTTCAGTAAGGGAAACAATGAGAAAGCAAAAGAGAAAGGAATGACTTTCCCTCCCAAGGCAGCCAGAGAAGTTTCTATTTTGCACTGTAGTTGGGTCTAATTACTCCTGAAGAGCTTTCAGTGGAGCACTGGGTTAAGCGGGTGATGGGTGTGTGCCGGCCTTCTCCGCGCTGGCAGATGTAAAGCACCCTGGCTTGAAGATATTACTGATGTTTATTTGTGTGTCTTGCTGAGCGATTCATAGTATTTCCTGTTGCCCTGCTCAGTGTGGAGACATCCAGGCAAATACCCTCAGTTTCTCTAGATTTAACGTTGCGAAGCAGTGTGGTTCTGCCTTGAATCTAGCAGTCGGAGCTGTGAGCCCGAGATCGTGTCAGATGATGTCTTTTTTCCATTGGCTGCAGTAGGTCTTGTATAATTAACAAGGAGGCACTTCAAGTCTTCTCTGTCTTCTCTAGTGAATCAATAATATAGTGTCAATGCAATTAGTTATCTTTGTTTAGTTAGAAACAGCAGCGGGTGACAAATATTTTGCAAAGTTATCTTACATGAGTCAATATTTTCTATAATTTGTGCCCCCAACAGTGTTTTTATTTTATATGCAATAACAAAAGTATAAAAAATTATTACACCCACTCTAAAGCTGGCCATTTTCATTAGTCATTTTCCATCTCATTTCAATTACATAGTGTGATTTCCAAGCGCTTAATATTTTATACGTCTCCAGAGTTATAGATTTACTGTGTTTCTCCTTCATTTGGGATTTTGGGGTAGGTACAATATTGCCTATTGCTCCAGCAGCTCTTGAGAGAGCACCTTCCCAGATAAATGCAGAGCTGAATTGCTAGAAAGAGGAGCTGAATGTAAGAGCATAGCATGATGCCAAGGTCATGCTCAGTGGAGGCCAGGCTTTAGTTTAGTAAGCGGTCATTAGCCACGATGTTCTACAGAAGCAGAACTTACAAAAATGTGGTGCATAGGCTCCCCTGGTGCGTCCCAAGGCAAAAGCCTGTAATCTGACAATGAAAATAATCATCCTTGAGTTTAGGAGACACTAAGGGACAATCCAGAGGTTTTACTCCTCTCTTTGAAACGTGGCAGTATGTGAGGAATTCAGAGGCTTCTTTCAGAGCACTGTCCAATGCTTAAATGCAGGAGGATTGGTCTACACTACGGTATTGCCAAAACTGCGTGCCAAAACAATTTTTCTGCTGCAATTTCTCCGATACAATTTCATTGAGGCTATCTTGCCAAACTAATTGATCTGAATCATGTTTTGTTTCCATAGGTTTCCCATTCTCCTAGTAGTGGTTCTGACGTGTATGTTTAAATGGAACTCTTCTAGGTAATACCGTGTCAGCGTCGCATAGGTACTTTGCTGGAAAACAGAATTTCTAACTAATATGTTGTCTTAGGAAGGTCCAACTTGGACACTAAGGCCAAGTCCGAGCACCTTGTCTCTTGTTTTCCTCCCACTTAGTTGCCTTGAAGAAAAGGGTTAAGCTGAAGGTCCTTAATAGCTGAAACTGTTGAAATTATTCTCTTTTGTAGTTCCAATATTGCAATTTCATATTTTTCTAATACATCTTCCTATACTTCCTCTTCCAGGAACTTCGTACTTAACAGATATAGTATGGTGGTCTGGCACTATTGCAAGTAAGTATCTTAAAAGGTTTGATTTTATTCGAAGGGAGAAGTCGCAGTTAGATGGTGAAATGAGACATCAGAAAATCCGGATTCTCATCTTGAATCTCATGCTCGCTTGTCACGAAATTCCCATCCCTCAGAAATATCCCAGCTTCAGTAAACTCTCACTGGCTACTGTGTCTGACGGTGTTTGAGAAGGCAAAGAGCTGGGACAATCCCAAGTCAGACCTGTGTCCAGATTTCCAAACCGTTTGGTGCTTGCAGCCCTTAGCAGCCACGCGCTGCTCTGACTCTGGTGTCTCTGGATTGCTCTGGTCCGCTCAGTTTTTAATAAAAGTCAAAGCTGAAGAAGAAATTGTCGCTCTGCACAAAAGGGCTCATTGAGCACATGTTATTTTTTTTAGATCAGAAAGCACTTAGCCAGCCTCAACTGAAAAGAAAAAAATCCTTTTTGATTTCTAGTTTGACAGATACAGTTTCAGTTTTGCTTTTAATCTACAAGATTAATGTGGAGCCTTGTGTGGTGCTGATATGAGATCAGTGTAATTTCACTCTTAGTATCTTTGTAAGCTGTGCCCAGGCAAAGTTCACTCTCTGATGTGAATCCAGAGCATGGGGAGCAGCTAGCCTTCTCCTCTTGCAGTTCAGACCTGGTTCTACCCACAAGCTTAAAATCATACCCCACTTTTAGACTCTAACCCAGCCTTTTGCGAATTATTTGGAAATGCTCTGAGGCTGTTTCTGAGAAGTATATCGATCTAGTTGTGCCCTTTGTTTTGTGGCAACAAGGTAAGTCTCTGCTTTTGTTGTCTTCAAGCTATGCAGAGAGAATGGAAACTGATAGATCCCTTGAAGGACAAAGTTCACAGCAAGTGCAGAAGCCAACGGAGCTTCAGAGGAAAGTCCTTGGCTAATTTAACCTGAGTTTAAGTAGTACTTTGTCAGCTTTCTCCTCTGCCAGGATCACCCCTGCCTAAGTAGCAATAAATCCGTGCATTAATCACTGCTGTTTGTCGCTCACAAGGCTCCAGCCTTGACTCTCCAAGCAGAAGGAGAGGTTTAATTACAGGAGTTTATCTTGGTGAATCAGAGAAAACGATTTCATGCTTAAAAGAGCTGACTGAATTGATTGAAGGCAGAATAGCTGAAGGGAATGGTATCAGTTGGCTTTTGTCCAGTAGCTAGGTGCAGGTATTTCAAAACAAAGCATTGGTAAGTTTACAAAGGAACTGAGGGAAGAATTGCTTAAGGATATTATAGATTCAGAATTGCAACAGATTCACAAACAGCAATAAGAAGGGCCAGGAATGCACTTGTGGGATGCAGAGAAAGGCGATGTTTGGGGAATTAGCAATATCCCCAGTTATCTGGGCAAAATTATAACAGCTGACATCATCTTCTCAAACAGGGAGTTTGGAGTTTGGATGACTAACAAAGCCCACATAAACTCTCTCAACTTGTTTTCACAATATTTGTTGAGATGGTGAACAAGCATTTCTGTGTTGGCATGCTGCCTAAACATTTTGGGGCCTTGGGATCCGCTGGATTACTGAAGACTTCAAAGGAAGGGCTACAGATTTTGCTAAGGGATTTTTTTTTTAAAGTCAAAAGAGTGATTGCAGCATGTATACAGGTATTTCAATGAGCATGAAACTAATTAATTGGCTAATTAATTAATTTTGGTGCAGGTTTTGATAGCAGCATGGATGTGGCTGGTTTTTATAGTGGATACATAGAACAGTTTGGGTGGAAGGGACCTGAAAGATCATCTGGTAACACTAACATCAATGTTAGTGTTTTACTGCAGATGGGGAATGCACTTGTGAAGCAAATCTCCTGTTTGTCTCCAGGGATTGGGCTTTCTTTCACATTGTGGAGCAGTGTTGGAGCTCCTGAACTGGTCTTTAAGATGAAACTAGGCTGGAAGATGCACTCTAGGAACATGCCTAAAGCACACCAGCAGCAAACAGACTTTCAGTCTGTGGGATCAGGCTGAAGTTAGTCTGAAATAAAACCCCTGACATGCGTAGAGCAGACATCTTTTGCTGTTCAGATCTACTCCTGGTCTCCTTGTTCATGTAGACATGTCTGTGTGCATCAGGTTTTGCATTGCAGTAACTTCAGGGATATTGGCTCTCCTTTAGCAAGCTTAAAGCTTGGTGTGCCTTCAAGAACTGAAGTGTGTCTTGACTTAGAAATTCCTCTCCTGACACAGCAATGTTCTATCCAGAGAGGACTGCATATGTGGGCAGCAAAGGTCCTCAACGTCAGTTAGGTGGGAACAATTACTGAGATTCTTTTTTTAATTTATCTTTATTAGTCCTGGTCTGTCGTTCATGGTGTTCAAGACTGTTACTATTACTCCATGGTGATGCTGAAAACTTCTGGCAAGTTCAGTTGCCTTACAACATGCAGTTTGACTGAAGCTTCAGAGACCTGATTTATGGGTCAGTGTTGGTGCCATCTGTTAGGGTTCTTCCAACAGAAATTTAAGGCACCTGACCTCCAAAAAAAAAATCAACCTTTTGTCAGGTCCCTTGGAAATGTACGTAATCTGCAGAAACACAGCCTGCTAGCTGTGTCCCGTCCTCCATGCAAGACCTGCCCCAGTGCCTTTGGATGCCTTGAAGATAACGCCAAAGTTGCTACATCCCTCTGTTGAAAAACAAGCTGGAGGCTGATAGTTGAGTTACTCTGTTCCCAGGGGCAGGGAGACCGTCACTGACTCTTGTGCTCTGGAAATGCTGCTGATTAACTTCTCTGGCTCACTCCTGCACACAGAGAAAGCCACAGTGAATTGAATTAATATAATTTTACCACACTTTGCAATTTTGTAAGTTGGTTTGTCTCCTTTGTGTTTCCTGTAGGTTACACAGGTCCTCAGCTCTACTGATAACGTGAGCTAATTTGGTAATTTAATTAATGTTTGCACAGTGCTTTGCAGGTGTAAAGAACAGGATGATGGTAATGATATGTGATAGTTGAGGGCAATGCCAGCCTGAGTATAAAGACAGCTTGGATTCTTGAAATGTTTTTATAGGCTGATAATGGCTCTTAAAATCAACTGGAAATTTGAGCTGTGTGTAATTTGTGTTCAATGTTGGGGTTCTTGCCAGTTACCACAGACCCTGTAACACTGCAGGCATCATGTTGACCTATTATAAACTTGCCAGCACTTGCAAAACCATCCAGATTTCCTTTTGTGACTGAAAACTTGAACGCATGAACTGTTTATCACAGCTATGATGTGCAATAGTGTGGTACGTCTTGGAATTTGTTTTTACTGGGGGAAAGAAGAGAAGAAAAGATTGTGAGGCTGTTATTGTGACTGGTCAGGAATCTGTTGTTTTTAAAATGATCAGGAATTATTTTTGATATTACATAGTGTTGTGAAAATTTGATGTGGTCTACTGTGTATTGAAAAGCCTTTATACATGTGCTTAGTATTTCATTATTAGATTTCTTAGTACTGTCCTTATTTCCCCCCGAAAAGCAACACTGCTGCTAGGAGTTATAGCCAAGTGCATTTGTGTTACATGTATGCACGTTCTAAAGCTGAAATCATTTATACTTTTAGCCCTGCCCATATAAATATTTGAGTGTAATATTGAGATATGAGTGTAATCCATGAGTGTTTCTAATTCAATTTATTGAGTTAGAGTTTATATTCAACTAGGAGAAGTTGCAAATGAGATTTACTGTGCCCTCTTGGATCTTCTTGTGTGGCAAATACAAATCCTTCATTGAAAAATTCCAACCATTTTGTTTAAGTGCAAAATTAACAGAGTTAAGCAAATCTGTAACATCTGTTTTCCAGTTAGGTCAGTCTTTCCTAAACAGTATTGGCTAAGTTTTCATTACTTCTTTTTACAAAGGGATTTAAAGGCTTGTTTCTGGTTCTCTTGACAGTGGCTCTGGGTCAAATAGGGAATTTCTTGGCCTACACTGCAGTCCCAACTGTGCTAGTGACACCCTTGGGAGCTCTTGGCGTTCCATTTGGGTAAGAGTTTGCTTTTCTCGTTCTTATCGGAGTGTTGTTACTACTCAATAAAATGTCAGATAGACTCAGTGATCACTGGAGGTGCACTGAGAAGATGTCAGGTTTATGACTGTTAATGATGTGTTATAATGTCACCTATTCCTGCTTTCCCCAGCAAAGTGACAGGGCGGGAAAGTGATGGTGGAGGAAGGGTTCCTGAGTATCTTCTGCTTTAACTATCACTATGATCTGAAACAGATAAACATCTTTTTTTTTTTTTCCCTTTCACTGTGGTTGTTCTGGACTTTTCTTATTCTGTTATTCACAGTTCTCTTACTATGTAGATCTGTCCTTTTGTCTCACATTCTTTCTCTCCCCTGCTATCCACAACCCACATGTGTTTATTGATGCTGATTTTCATTTATATTGGATTTGGCCCCGTTTTCTGAAGCGGGACTCCCTTGCATATGCATGCCCACGCTTCTTGAATGTTATGTTCATGTGAAGGGAGGGGACAAAAAAGGCAGTGAGTGGTCCTAAAAGGAGTTCAATATGCAACTGTTTTGTGAATAGCTAAACTACTTTTGTGAACCTATTGCGGTGAAAAAGTACAATTCTTTAAAAACAAAGCTGTGCATTGCCTCGAGATTTTTCTGTTGCCTACTGTTGGCTGCTGAATTGTGTATCTGACTGCACTGGTCATCTATGTCAGAGTGCAGATTGCTTTGTATGGGCCTTGTGGCTTCAGAGTTTTAAACACTATGAAGCACACTGGTGGTGCTCTACTTACCGCCTATTATTTTATCCGAGGCTACATAATTTTTGGTATTTTGGTCAGCTACGTGTCTGAGGTGAGCCCTGTGATCTTTGTAACCAAAGGCCACTTTTATCTCATGAATGTGTAGCACCTACAAAATGGGGCTTTGTGACAGGTCACCAAATGGGCAACGGGTAGATATCTGCCTCGGGTGCCCAATGCCTGGTTTGGGAGGTTGGGTTTTTTTGGAGGAGGTGATGTGGCGTTGGTTTTGGGAGTGATGTGGCTGGGTTTTTTGTTGGTTGTTTTGGTTTGTTTGTGGGGTTTTTTCTTCTGAGATGAAACATCAGGGATCGAGTAAAACTGAGAGTGGATGATTTTTTCCTAAGATAAGTCAGAAATGCATTTTGAGGATCCACCAACATTTGATCAAAGATCCACCAACATTTGATACTGTTCCTTTAAGAGGGAAATTCACGAAGGACATCACTGCTGGAGCATTATTAACAGGATGTAGTCAAACTTTTAATTTTCTTCCTCTTTTGTGAAAGGTCCATTTTAGCTTCTTACTTACTGAAAGAAAAACTGAACATTCTTGGCAAGCTGGGATGTTTGCTGAGCTGCGCTGGGTCTGTTGTTCTCATCATCCATTCCCCAAAGTCCGAGAGCGTAACAACTCAGGCTGAGCTTGAAGAGAAGCTTACAAATCCAGGTACTTTGTTCTTTTATTAACTCATAATGATTTTGTGAGATTGATCAAGAGCACGCAGGAGGAAGAGGCTTACCACTTCCATCAGGTAGGAAAATTGACTTCTGAAGAAACCATGACGTGACAGAGGCAAACCAGTACAGCTTTTGTGTGGGAAAACTATGCCTTGCTGTACTTGGAACTCGTCAGATTTATTGATACATGTGTGCAGAAAGGAAAATGTGGATACTTTTGAAAACGTTATCCTGCACAGCACGCTCAGAACAATGGCCACTTGAACTTGTAATTTTCTAAAATTATGAAAAAGTGTATCTTCCTACTCAGAGATGAGAGGTCCAATTCTAGGATCTCAATTTAAGTTGTTTTATACAAAACAAAAAATACTGATTGTCTTTTGTTCTTTAATTCTGCATTTGTTTTTTTTTTTTATTAAAAGTTTATACTAAATACCAGTTATGTTCCAAGCAGAATTCTTTGCACAATAAAGGTGTGTAGAAATATGCTGTTGAAATGCATGCTGAAATGCCTGTTCTTTCTCACAGAGAATGTAAGGCCCCACTAGCTCCTGGAGGACACAGACTAGTGCTAATACATGCCAGACCCACTTTTGTTCTTCTTGCATAAGGGCTAAACTGCCAACTATTGTTATTTCCTTTAATTGCTTTAGGTGAGAGAAACTCAAACCTAATAACAACAGCTATCCAAAAAAATTGCAAACAAAGAAAAGAAAAAAAATACCCTGGTCTAAATTTACCCTTTCAATCTGACCAAAATTAATTGGAAATGTATTTCTTTAAAACTGTAAAGCATGAAATGTTTTTCACCAGTCTAATCTGTGTACTGATGCTATAATGCAAACGATATGGCCTCTTCGTTCTCCTAACTCTCCCTACTCACCTTAATGGGATCTAACTTTGTTTAAGCTCTTTGCTAGATCCATGCACCATACTTTATTAACTGGTTATGAACAAGGTGTTATCACTGCTGTCTGTCATAGAAGGTTTTAAGGAATATAATACTGATGGAAGAGAGAATGAAAAAAAAAAAAAGCCATCTTAAATCCAGTTCAAATGTGCAACAGTGTGTACTTTACTACGTGATGATTTGTTTTACCCAAAGAACATGACAACAGCATTGGTTGCAGATGCCCACAACATCTCTAAAACCTCAGTGATTTGGATCTATATTCAATAGCAGATCTTAATCCTGGTGTATACCTGGAGTTCACTGGTATAACATGATTTGCCAGCTAAAATCTTTAGAAGACCAAGAGTTCTCACCTTGCTATTATCTTGTTTTCTTTTTGTTTTCCAGTTTTCGTGGGTTATCTCTGCATAGTGCTGCTAATGCTTCTCCTGCTTATCTTCTGGATAGCTCCAGCTCATGGACCTACTAATATCATGGTTTACATCAGTATTTGCTCTCTGTTGGGCAGTTTCACTGTTCCCAGCACAAAAGGCATCGGGCTGGCTGCTCAAGATATCTTTCACAATAACCCCTCAAGTCAAAGGGCTCTGTACCTCTGTCTGGTACTTCTGGCAGTATTAGGATGTAGCATTATCATTCAGTTCAGATACATCAATAAGGCACTGGAATGTTTTGACTCCTCTGTGTTTGGTGCCATCTACTACGTTGTGTTTACCACCCTGGTCCTGCTGGCTTCAGCCATCCTTTTCAGGGAATGGAGTAATGTAGGAGTGGTAGATTTCTTGGGAATGGCTTGTGGATTCACCACAGTATCTATTGGAATTGTTCTTATACAAGTCTTCAAGGAATTCAACTTCAATATCGGGGATTTAAATAAACCTAACATGAAGACAGATTAAAATAGTTTTTTGAGGGGAAACTGGATGGCTCAGGGAAGGGTGCAGAGCTTTTCATTTCTAGGTCACTGATTCAAGTTACCCTCTGATGATTTGGTGGCCTACGTGAAATGAATTGGAGGCCTCCATCCAGTTTCAAAGGAACAGTTGTCCATGTACCCCAGTCTACACAATAAATGACCTTAATTGGAACCACTGATTGAGTCAGCATAGAGACCGATGTATTTCCTTACTGTAAAAGGTAATCCATCAGAAAAGATTGGGGGGTATTCTGACAGACCAAGTTAAAGCATGTATTGTGGCTTCTGAGGTACCGTTTCTGTGGACAGAGAACATCAGTTTCTAATGCACTCAATCTGACACCTTTCATGAGTGATGTATACCTTAAAATATGGGGGGGAAAAAGTGAGTGCAACAATTTGTTAATCTCGATATAGCAACACGTTCACCGTCAAGGCTGTGAATTCTGAGACTAATGTCGGTTGACCCATGGACTGCAGATTTGTCCTTTTTAGTGGCTGTCTCGGCAACTTGGTCTGCCATGCGGTGAAGACACTGGGGAGTTTTAAATTGAATTCTTTATACAGAGTGGTGGACCCTTAAAAAAAAAATCTTTCACTAATTACTTATCAGCTGATGGTAGTGTCCAGGCATGCATTTTTCTTTGTAACTTCGTGCATTAAGACATACTGCATTCATCTGAGAGTTTTTAATTGGGAGCAGACGGAAAGATTGTGAAGGATGTGGAAGTGATGCACAGACTCATTGCCTGTATGGTGGCTTATTTGTAAGCAGCTCAGAACTATTTCAGTGCCTTTGTAATCCAAAAATACTGCATAAATGTGAATGTATCTCTTTCAGATGGCCTATACCAGTTTAATAATTCAATTTCACTGTCTATAATATTGGACCATATTCAAATTCTAAACGTAAAGCATCTAGAAGGAGCCACATGTTTTTGGAAGAATTTACAAACCTGAACTGAAACCCTTAGATGCCTTGACAGCTTCTGAAAAACCCATAGTCTGAATGGGAAGAGGTAACCTACAGGAGGACTGTTTAAAGCCATCCAGCATCCCTTTATTCTGGTTAAGTGATTAAATACAGGAAACCATTTTGTGAAGTAGCTAATAAGCAGCGATCACAAAAAAGAAATTTAAGAGGGAGAAGAGTGTGAGATTTCTCATAGCTCAAAAAAAGATGGTGTGATCTTCTTGTAACTTGGGAAAATGAGGTTAAAGACTGAAGAAGCAGAGGCATTCAAAGAGTGAGTTCCAGATGATAACCAACAGGGGTATACATTCAGATCCAGTAATTTACAGACCTGTGTGAACAGTTCAGCAATAGTATTTTGACAAGTAGTACAAATAGCTTAAGCTGTGGTTGGAATGATGCTGAACTGTTCAGTTTAAACCACTTAGAGAATATTGACGTGTCAAAGAAAGAAATAGTTAACTTTTGTGTTGTGTTTGGTAGTTAAAACATCATGAGTCAAAAACTTGTAAGAAAAGCTTGAAGAGTAACAAATGTTGGTTTCCATTAGGTGCAAAAATGGAAGAGTACAGTGGAACTCAACATCTCTAGTTCAGAACATCTCTTAAAAAAACCAAAAAAACTCCAACATGATTATGAGACAGCATTTGAAAAAGTTCATGATGCTTTATCAAGAGATCATGAATGTTGCTTTGTGGCTGGCTGACAGGAATGCGGGCGTTGATTAATCAAGAGTAATGCTGTCCACTCTTGTGAAGTTTTTTGTTGACTTGAATTAATGTTACCGTAAAACTCAGCCTCCTTTTCATGTAAAAGGAAAGTTATAAGCCCTTCTGATGGCAGCAATCATCATGAATGGTGAATCCTAAAGATGTAGTATTCCAAAGGGACTATTCTGAGGGAGTAGGAGCCCCACTGTGTTGTTATTTGGAAGCTTATTTTATAACTCCAAACCGGGGGGGAATGACTCTGAGTTGGCAGAAACGCATGTTGTTATAGGCCAGCATGGAAACTGGGTATCTTGGTGAAATAAAACAGTGCTAGCAGAGAAAAGGCCACCTTCATGGATTTTCAAATATTGTGTGCAGTTTCTGGAAAGTTTGAGAATTGTAAGTGAGAGGAATTGGACTAGGAAAGCTGTTTAAAACTAACCTCTGCCTGTTACTGACTGGAAAATGGTACCTTGGTTGTCAGCAGTTAGGTTTTGTCATATCAATTCCCTTTGTCTGATTGAAACCGGAATTTTACATAGGTAATGAGACCTGTAGTGACCTACTTTTTAAAACAGTGTTAGCTGTTTTCCGAAGCAGTCAAGTTGTCTTTTCAAAATTCAGGTTCAGAGTTCTTGAGTTGCATGTTGGTTTTGTGCTAGCCTTTAATCTCTGAAGACCCGTGAAAATCTTTAGGTTAAAATGGAAATGATTGTGGTCTCATCTTACTCCTCCTTTGGCCACATTTGTTTGTCTTGTTTTGGTTTAAAATTCATTTGTATTTATTTAGAAAGTGCCTATCCTAGTATGTTAGGTGTGTATGCAAATTATTAGTAAACATTAGATCCCAAATAACTTGACTGCCCTGTCTAAACCTTGCCATTTTCTGCACCACACACACAAGTTTACTTGACAGCACTCACTATGCATAGTAAGAATAAAGTAGAGCTGTGTTCTGTGGTCCTTTGACCACCCTCTCAGCTGGTAAATGTCTGCATAGGTTTCTTCTCTTCTCCCCAGCTGCTCCTCATCTGTGATGAGCTTTCTAGAGATGTCTAGTTAACCTTGTGCTTTAAAACAGAGATGCCAAAAGCCAGCACATAAGGTGAAAGAAATTCTTGTGGCCTTGCACATTATTATATCTGCAGCCTTTTACATCATGAATGCTAAATAATGGAAACCTTTATTTTTGCTACTTTCTTTGGTATGCAGCAGTGTTCTTTGGAGTTCTGCTGTACCTCAATCTGGTTCAGCTCTAACTTTAGAAATGTATTAGCATTTTATGTTGTCACTGTTGGTATGATTCTCCCCCCCTCCATCCCACACCCTCCTCGTTCTCAGTGTCCTACCTTTTTTAGTCCCATTGCTTTTCTGATTTAAAAGGAGGCACTGTTGAAGTAGAATTTTAGCCATTCCCTCTTTTTTTTCCCACCCCTTTGACAAGGAAGCACTTTGAATAAGACAGATATCTGAGTTCCATCATCTCAGGGAGCAAATGTGCATAGTTGTCTCCTGAGCTTTGGCGTCCCTCGCGGGTCTGCCCTTTCCACGTTCTCTTTGTGTTACATCTATCAGTAGCTACAAGCCAGATGACTTCAGTTCTGATTCCAAAGTAGAAGTGGGGAGAGGCTACACGTACAACAAGTGGACTCATGACAGTGGCGGGAGGCATTTGAATTAAATTCAAATCCATATGAAAGGCATTTCAGACTGTCTGTCTGGCTTCTATTATACTTGTCAAACGTATTTACTTGGTACTCACTTGAAGGTAGCTCTTTGATCATTATCCCTTCAGTGTATGGAGGATTTACATGCATCAGTCACGATCTTTATTAGGTGTCAAACACAAAAATCCCTCAAATGTTCAGTAGGAGAATAGAAACCTTTTTGATACAACCAAAACCAAATTTGTTACACTTCTGTAAAAAAGAGAAATATCTAAACACGTTATCTGCTGTATTGACTTTCCAGGACTCTCTGTGTAAATAGAGCCTACTTACTGGGGAGCTGCAACTAACATTAATAAGAACCTGTCACATCACAGTTTGACAAGTGAGGCTTCCTATTAATAATCTTGGTTTATAATGAATTTACGTATTTTTCTGAAGTAGCTAGCACTGAAAAATGAAAACACTGGATTTTATTTGTTGAAATACTAGAATCTGAGGTCTAGCTTTCCTTTTTATTTGAAAAGTAGACGGTTTGTATTTGAAGGAAGATTTGGGTTTATTAAATACGGGGTGCTTTAAGTGGGCCATTGTTTGCACGTTGTACCCCTCTTACCTTCTTGTTTCATAACTACAAACCATCGAGGATTCTACAGATTGTCCTCAGTTGTCTTGAGATGGTGTAACTGCTGAAGTTTTACTGTTAAATGTTTATCTATTGCCTGTTATCTTTTCTTTACAGAGATTAGTCTTTGTAATACCTCTTTGGTGCTACTGAATATGGGCTTAAGTGATGCAGAATTTTAGTGTGTACCATGTTAGGCACCAATGATGTCAACAGTTATTACTAGTGCCCAAGCGTTTCAGACAGCAGTGTCGAAATGTTACAGATTAAGAAATCTTTTTTAAAAGCTGCAAATAATTAGTTTTTATTGGTTTTTGTTGTGTTGGGTTCCGCCTGTCCCCCAGACAGTTGCTCTACAGAGTGGAAAATATTACACAAAAGGGGTACTTTTAAGTTAAATCATTTTTCAACTGTGGAACTTTCTCCTTTTTTTTTTTTTTTTAAATTTTGTTTGTGGTTTGTTGTTTTGGGTTTTTTTTTTTCCTGGAATGTAAAAAATAGTTCTAATGGGATATGGGGAAAAGGTGGATGGCAACAAACATAGTGTCAGGTTTGGTTGCTTCAATGCTATTGCAATATAGTTACTACAGATTACATAAAAATGGTTTATTTTATTAGCTTCCAAATAATGTATATATAGATTTGTTAATGGCTTACAAGTCAAGCTTACTCTCTTTGCTTTTTAAAAAATAGTTATAGGCATGTTGTATTTGCCTTGTGTAAATTATAAAAGGCTATTTATTAAGTTTTCTGATAACCTATTTATTAACCTGTATTGTTTTAAAATAAATGATTTATTTCTAGCTCAATGCTTGTTTTGTGACTCCTCTTTATCACATGGGGGGTGGGGGGGAAAATCAGTTTCCCACACATCTAGCTGCTGTCCAGCCTAATCCCAATTCATAAAGCCAAACTATTTCCATTACCCTTTCATAAAATAGCAGCCTTGCTTTTACTGAGAGTAGCAGATTCTTTCATGGGTACACATCAGTTGCCACATGAAGGGCT